TCAAGTGCAGCTGTTTGAGCGTTTGCCAGTGGTCTGATCTCACCAGAAAAACTGGAGTTAAAAAACAACAAACTTCCAGATTCAGCCATCTCGGATTAACACTACCCTCCTGCCGCTGCCCCCTCCCCCTGTCCTTTCCCTTTCTTCCCATCTGGGGCACCTGGGTAGCTTGGTGCTTTTCCGTGAGGTTGGGATGTCAGCCGGCAGCCCTGGAGACCAGAGCCCGGGGAGGAGGCAGCCACCTCTCGGGTTTAGCATTACGTCATCCCTTCTGGACCCAAATTTATCTCGGCTGCACACAGACCCGCAGCTCTGAGCTGCCGCTGACTCGAGGAGAGCTTACGCATGAAGTTAGGCAGGGCTGACTCACTGGGCAGAGGAAGGTTTTCTGCAGTTCTTCACGTTTCTGGGCCCTGGGGGAAGAGGAGGGGAGGAGGCTGTGGTCCTTGTTTTGGGGTGAGGGATGGAAAGATATCTGTTACTGTTCTCATTTAGGACCTCAGAGCTGACCCTCCCCTGTGGGCAACCTTGATTATTTGAAAACCTCCACCCTTCAAGATAATTGCAGAAAACAGTGCTTACATGGCTAAAGCACTTTGCAGATCCGGGGAAACTGTCTGAAGCACCAAGTGTCAACCTGGTGACTTTGGACTTGTAACTTAACCTCAGGCCCCCCTCCCTCTCCATCTCTCCTCTCTGCAGAAGAGATATAACACATCAGTCTTCAGTGTTATGAATTTGCAATAATCACTTAGAAATTTGCATTTAGTACACTGTGTAGGGATGGGGGGTGGAGAGGAGAGGGCACCCAAACAATTGAGAGCTTCACCAACTTTCTTCAGAAGGTAGGTTGTCCCCGTCCAGGTTGTGATTATTAAAGGGCCTGGGGACTCTGGGAGACTTTTTCCATTTTCAAAGGAGATTTCCCCAGCGAGAAATACTGGAAGGAGAAGACAGAATCAGAGACTACCGGTAAGATTCCAGATTCTTTATGCCAGTAGATTTTGGCAGCCCTTACCTTTCCCATTTGCCCAACTACATTTGTAGTGTAAGCTGGGTTCATCTGAGCAAAAGAAAAGCCATGGCTGTCTCTGAGTTGCCCCAGACTGAAGCCTGGTGCTCAGGATGGTTTGGGGTAGCATCACTCTCCTGATGATAATACCCAGCGCTTTTTGCTGTGGGAGGCCCTGGTGGCCAAGCAAGGCCTTCAGGAGGCATCCGGAACAGGGAGAAGCAGCGGCTCCTCATTCCTCAGTTATTGCTAGAAAATGCTGGAGATGTCTGTGCATAAACCAGCCCTTCACACTGCCCACTGCCCACCATCCCACTACCTCTTCTGCTCTTCACCATGGGCTGGTGACCTTTGCGTGACTCTCATGCTGTGTCCATCTCCTCATCTGCCTCTTGGCCATGGCTTTTGAGAAAAGGCTGTCAAATTCACCCTAAGGTCAACTGTGAAGGGCCACCCACAGGCCCCACACATCTATTTAACTTTCTGTTACTAATGTGCTCTGGCTCTATGATCTATGGAATTAAACCCATCTTGAATTCATGTATATTTTCAGGTTGTGTTACTTTTCTTGGTTGCATATCACTCAGGTTTACCTGCCATTGGGTAAAGTAAACTTTTGTTTGTCATAAACTGCCTTCTTCAAGGTTTGGGGGTAGCCTTTTTCAATTGAGACTCTAAAGCTTTAGAGAGGTTCTGGAAATGGTGGAAACTAACTTTCAACCGAATAATTTCTACCTTCAACAGATGTTCTGAGTGGCATTTTAAGCCATTTCTTGCCACCTCTACCTGACACATCCCTTGTTGAGGAGGTAGGGTGGTCTTTACGAACACTCAGTGGGAAAGCAGAGATCAGAAGTGACCTAGCCAACAGCTGAAAAAGCACAATCCCTTTTTCAAAGCCCTAAAAAAAATTCTCCTGTGGCTTAAGAACACCTCTCATTTTGGGTCTCCCTGAATTTGATGGAACATCTGCTTCTTAAATGTTGTGCCAAGTATAACATTTAAATGGGCTAGCAGAACTTTGCAGTTTGTGACTTTATTGGAGCTCCTGTTCACTTGGGGGGGGCGCGGGGGGAGAAGAGGGAGAGGGTGTTAAAATGCAGCATGAAAGCACGAAACCCATAACATTTTTGAGAGGATAAGATGTTCATCCCGAGATGATATTTTCTGCAGTAGCTAGTGGAATGACCTCAAGGAAAGGGGAATTCTCCTCTAAGAGCTTCCTATTACTTTGTATGTCCACCAGCAGTTTTAAATAATCAGAGTGGGAAGAAGTTATGGATATGTTGACACAGTTTCTAGCATGTTCCTAGATCATTTGCAGTTCTAATCCTCTTGTCTTCCTCTCCCTAGATAGTTGTTCTGAATTGGGGGTGATTTTGTGTCTCAGGAGATATGTGGCAAAGTCTGGAGGCATTTTGGGGTGTCATGCCTGAGGGGTGGTAGTGTGCTACTGGCATCTAGTGGGTAGAAGCCAGAGATGTGGCTAAACATCCTACAATGCACAGAACAGAACTCCTTGCTCCTCCAAGAAAGAATTATCTGGCAAATAATGGCAATAATGCTAAGATTGAGAAACTGTGGTGTGGACTTGGAGGATTTGTTAGATGAAGAAATTGGAGAGAGTGGTAGTGAGAGCTTTTAATATGGTCTCCTTTCTTTAGCCACTGCTTTCAGTTACTTTTCAACCTTTTCCTTCCTTCAGCTTGGGAGGAAACAGTGATCATCATAGCTTCCATTTGAGTGCCCAGTATGAGCTGAGTATTGAAATTATCTCACTTAATCTTCACCACAAGCTTGCTAAAAAGCTGCTGAAAGCAGCGTCCATATCTGTTTTTGTGACTACAATACACATTGTCCGGTTCAGTGCTGGGCATATAGCAGGACCTCAACATAATGGACAAGTAGAGGAATTATATCTTTTATACATTAAAAAAAAAAAAAAAGCGGGGGCTAGGTTTGTAGCTCAGTGGTAGAGCGCTTGCCTAGCGTGTGTGAGGCACTGGGTTCGATTCTCAGCACTGCATATAAATAAGTAAAATAAAGGTCCATTGACAACTAAAAAAATTATTGGGGGGAAAAAGAGAAGAAAGTGAGGCGTGCAGAATTCATACAGCTAGCTTAAGTAGCAGAATCCAGATCCAACTGAACTTGGTTTAACTCCAGCACCAAATCACGTATCCACTGAATTATATCCTTCTCTTGCGGCACCAGAATGATTTTACTGGTGTTTTAAAAAGCACTAGTGAAGGACTAGGAAAAGATAATGTTAAAAAATTCTCTCTCCGGTTCTGATGAAATGATCCCTTATTTTTGAACAGCGATCATGACTTCCCAAGTGTTTCTGTGTGTGCTATTCTTGCAACGTATTACTTTGCTCATTTTGTAGATAAAGAAACCGAGGCACAGAAGTTACAGGAGAAAGCAGTAGCAGAGGACTGGAATGCGGCAGTTTTGGATAAGAAATACTCCTTATACTCCCCTCGGGTAGTTGCTGAGAAACGAGCCGCCTTGGGAGTAGATAGCACGCTCAAATCCTTCCCGCTCAGAAGTAAAGCCCTGGTAACTTCTTAGTCTTTCCACCCTCGAGGGAGAAAAGGAAACACAGGACACTACATCTCCCAGCGGCCATCGCGGAATTCCGCAGGGCGCAGGCGCTATGAGGCGGCATGCGAACTACGACTCCCAGTGTGCAGTGGGCGGGGAGGGACTACATTTCCCGGGGGGCAGAGGAAGGGGCGGGAGGAGGCGGGCCAGAGCGCTGCTCCCGCCCCTCCCCCG